ATTTACTGTACCATCAGAAGTCTTTATGTTGTAACGTTGATAGAAATTACCAATGCAAGGACTTTATATTTAGCCGTGAGGATCCACTTACCGGATTACCATACTCTGATGTAAAAAGGTGGTGTATATTTATTATTGAAATAAATCAAAAGTGAAAAACGTTTCAACATTCTGATAGGTTACATCTAGTGCTCTAGGTGTGGCTCCTGCCTCCACTAGGTGTGGTTCCCAGGCTCTACCAGGTGTGGCCCCCTGCCTCTACCAGGTGTGGTTCCCAGGCTCTACCAGGTGTGGCCCCTGCCTCTACCAGGTGTGTCCCCTGCCTCTACCAGGTGTGTCCCCTGCCTCTACCAGGTGTGTCCCCTGGGCTCCCCACCAGGTGTGCCCCACCTCTACTCTGCACCAGGTGTGGTCCCCTGCCTCTACTCAGGTGTGACCCCTGCCCTACCAGGTGTGTCCCTGCCTCAACAGGTGTGGTCCCCTGCGTATACCAGGTGTAGTTCCCAGGCTCTACCAGGTGGCCCCTGCGGCATACCAGGTGTGGTTCCCCAGGCCTACCAGGTGTGGTTCCCAGGCTCTCCACCACAGGTGTGGCCCTTGCCTCACCAGGTGTGGCCCCCTGCGCATACCAGGTGGTTCCCCAGGCTCTACCACAGGTGTGGCCCCTGACAGTGGCCCCTGGCTCTTACCAGGTGTGTGCTCCTGCCTCTACCATAACCACCAGCCCCAGCAGCCCCCCTCTTCTCGATGAGCAACACTCCACCACCGCGTCACATGATGTATGACTGAGACAAAATTGTTGTTTTGTTGGAAGTAACCAGGTGTGTGTGTGTGTGTGTGTGTGTGTGTGTGTATGTGTGTGTGTGTATGTGTGGCCATTATTTCACAGTACTCCAGCATACACATGTGAGTACAGGTGAACGTGTTCAGAAATACCTGATACTAACACATGTGTAGGTCTAACAGGTGTGTGTGTACGGGACCGTATGGTTAAGTGTAGGACAGGTGTGTACAGGAACATCTGTGTTATTTGTACACACGTGTAAGTTTATGTACACCAGAAACTTTGTTGGATACTTACACATGTAAGTATCTACACTCCCAAATACGTACAGTGTACAACCTGAAATATTCATACTATGTTAGCATACACATTTAAATTAATATACAAACACGGGAGTATACATATTAATACATAAACATTGAGTGTATACTGACCTCTGTACACACACCTACTGAGTGTATACATGTGTACAGGTTTAAACGAATATTTATGTACACACAACAAAGTAATGTACGTGTCTGCCAGCAGTTTATCGTACACACACACTCACTTAAACGTGTGCACCAAGCCCACCAGTAGTTCGTTAGGTTAGGTTAGGTTTGGTGAGTGTAATTCAAGTTAGGTTAGCTTTGGTTAGCTTTGGTTAGGTTAGGTTAGGTTAGGTTAGGTGAGTGTAATTCAAGTTAGGTTAGCTTTGGTTAGGTTAGGTTAGGCTAGGTTAGGTGAGTGTAATTCAAGTTAGGTTAGCTTAGGTTAGGTTAGGTTAGAGGCATTAAAGCAGTCCCAGATACAAGAATTATTCATCGTACGACCATATGTGAATCCTGATCCCGGTTTCCACGTCAATTAACAGAAGCTGCAGGAGTTAGTCAGTTTATGGTAAGTACGTGAACGGTATACTAAATATTGGGGCCTCAGTAAATTGATGTATTTTTTAATAGAACCATGACCAGATCCACTTCAATAGGCGTGTCATCTCCCTGTTAACTCAACCCCCTGTCAATTCAACCCTCTGTCAATTGAACAAAAAATTAAATTAAATTCCCTGTCAATTCATCCTCTGTCAAATCAATCCCCTGTTAACTCAACCCTCTGTCAATTCAACCCTCTGTCAATTGAAAAAAAAATTAAATTAAATTCCCTGTCAATTCATCCTCTGTCAAATCAATCCCCTGTTAACTCAACCCCCTGTCAATTCAACCCTCTGTCAATTGAAAAAAAAATTAAATTAAATTCCCTTTCAACTCATCCCCTGTCAAATCAATTAATATTTTTTAATATTTTTATCTTATATCAAATAGCGATTATTACATATTAACAACTCCTCTACGATATAGCAGTTTATTTCGTTCAATTTCTGTAATTTTTTTCAACTTTTCACAGCAGAAGGACTCAGAAGGACTCACAATAATTCCTTCAGATTACTGTCCCTTTGCTGTTCATCCTTACAGTCTATACACTCTAATGGCCTGAAGCGTGACGTGTATGGTCATCGTCCTTCTGTCCACTCCAAAAATGATGAACTTCAGTGGTTTAAGACACCCCAAAAAAAGGTATTAAAACTGGCCAATCACTTTGTTGCAAAAGTAACAAAGGCTAATGTTGTTAAAATACTTCTACACCTCAGGACTAATGTTAAAATTTACAACGAACACTTAAAAAATAGATAATCGCCGTGCCTAAAATAATTTACTCATTGAGATAGGCCTTAACGTTATCTTTATCTAGTTAGAAATATTATCTCAACATGACCTCTGTACAGCTAGAGACAGACAGACAGACAGACACACACACGCTATCCCCAGGTACACAATAGTAACTAGATGGTAATCCTGTAAGCTGATTATATTGAAACCTAGAGCTCACTCCAACAACGCTTCCCCATGAAAATCCATTCTCCTCCTAAATTTTTAAGTGTCCCTCTTATGGAGTATTGATTCATGGGTAATATATGGGGGTATTGATTCATGGGTAATATATGGGGGTATTGATTCATGGGTAATATATGGGGGTATTGATTCATGGGTAATATATGGGGGTATTGTTTCATGGGTAATATATGTATTGTTTCATAGGTAATATATGAGTATTGATTCATGGTAATATATGGGGGTATTGATTCATGGGTAATATATGGGGGTATTGTTTCATGGGTAATATATGGGGGTATTGATTCATGGGTAATATATGGGGGTATTGATTCATGGGTTTACGGTCGGTTACACATACATTACATACACACATACATCATCGTTCACACACATCCGCACTAAGAAACGCACACATGTACACATATACATTATACTCAGTTAAATATACATGCAGATTATACATGCAGTACATATTCATACACACGTGAAAACAGACAAGAATTATTATACAAATTACACACACACACACACACACACACACATATACACACACACACACACACACACAAGATCAATGTTGATTAAAATTTACACTGAAGAAAAATTATGTTTTATTTGACTAATTCATTAATGAGATGCTTCCAGAGAGAGAGAGAGAGAGAGAGAGAGAGAGAGAGAGAGAGAGGTGAGTCAGAGCAGCAACAGATGAACTCAACAGCTGGTAGTGAATAGATAAATATTCTTTTATATCTATCTATCTATCAATCTATTTGGTCTATCTGCCTGTCTCTGACCTTCGTTCTGTTTTTTAATAATTTATCTGTCTCCCATTCTCTCTTTCTGTCTTTTTGGCTCTCTCTCTCTCTCTCTCTCTCTCTCTCTACCCGATACTCTACTTGATGTATTATCACGCCGGAATATTTGACACCTGTGTATAAATGTTCACAATATACACAAGAATACGCCGCCACTCAGACTGTTGGTGTGACTGTACTAGTGACTGTTGTTGTGTGCTAGTGACTGTTGTTGTGTACTAGTCACTGTCATGGCGCCTTAGTGACTGTGGTGGCACCCTGGTGACTGTGGTGTGGTGCCTTAGTGACTGTGGTGGCGCCCTGGTGACTGTGGTGTGGTGCCTTAGTGACTGTGGTGGCGCCCTGGTGACTGTGGTGTGGTGCCTTAGTTACTGTGGTGGCGCCCTGGTGACTGTGGTGTGGTGCCTTAGTTACTGTGGTGTGACTGTGGTGTGGTGCCTTAGTGACTGTGGTGGCGCCCTGGTGACTGTGGTGTGGTGCCTTAGTGACTGTGGCGCCTGGCGTGTGGTGCCTTAGTGACTGTGGTGGCGCCCTGGTGACTGTGGTGTGGTGCCCTTAGTGACTGTGGTGGCGCCCTGGTGACTGTGGTGTGGTGCCTTAGTGACTGTGGTGGCGCCCTGGTGACTGTGGTGTGGTGCCTTAGTGACTGTGGTGGCGCCCTGGTGACTGTGGTGTGGTGCCTTAGTGACTGTGGTGGCGCCCTGGTGACTGTGGTGTGGTGCCTTAGTGACGCCCTGTGACTGTGTGGTGCGCTGTGGTGGCGCCCTGGTGACTGTGGTGTGGTGCCTTAGTGACTGTGGTGGCGCCCTGGTGCCTTAGTGACTGTGGTGGCGCCCTGGTGACTGTGGTGTGGTGCCTTAGTGTCTGTATCGTGGCACTAGTGACTGACCTCTTGTGGTGTTGGGTATAGACTCCTCCTCCTGTTAGATGACCTGCACTAACAGTCAGTATAAGTGTATTTAATGAAACAGTCAAGTTGGACCTTCTGGCTACTGAGCCCCGTCAAATGTCACTCCCGCATAGAAAATGTACAAGAACTCTTCAGGTGAAAACATGGCAAGATTCTTCACAGCGAAAAGAACGACGCGAGTGTAGAGGAAATATTTCTTCTTTTTTACTCGGTTCAAGTGGACGAAATACAGTAAAAGTGTTGTCACGCGATGGTGGGCGGTAAATCTTGAAGTATGCCAGAGAAACAATATACACCGGCCGCCGTGGGGTAATGCGCAGCGCGGAATGAACCATAACTGTTATTACTGCTTTCCTAAGTGACTTGGGCGCTGCCTGCCCAGTATAACCCGGTTCCGACTCTCTTGTGTAATTTCAGTAATCTAGAGAGTTGCATCTAATGTTTGAAACCTCCAGTGCGGGTGAATATCTGACCTGTGACATGAGGGAGGCACTCACAAGCCCAACAAACCGCTCTGAATAATGGAGTAGAGTGGTGGGGCGCGCCACATATTATACCCGCCTCATAAAGCCATTGGACCAGAGCTGGTATGCCACGTAGCAGGGGGCGTGGATCGAAGGGTGGGCTGCCAGGGCTCATAGCTCAGGCCAGGTGGGGCCGAGTGACCCCTACTGCTCCCAACTCCCCCAACCTGTACCTGGAGGGGCGGAGCATTTCTCCTTGCTTTCCACATCCTGACCCCGCCCACCACGCACCACCGTACATTCACCTCTCCTCTAAGAATCGGTTATTAAGGCTCATTATGTGTCTCCTATTAAGCTATAATAGAATCTAATAGAATCTGGGTCTAATTAAAAAGAAAACGTAGGAAGTACGCAAGTAACAAAACAATAGCAAACTATTCCGGCAGGTAATCCATCCAACTCCGCTTCCCCTGTGGCTTGGTGGGCGGGACGATGTGACGTCACAGTCCGCACACACCTGAGCACCCGGCCTCTGTCTCAGGCAGTCCGTGTGTGTGGGTGAAGCGAGAAAGTCACGTCCTTACGTTTCTGTGACTTTATTTCTTCTTTTCGTCCTCTCCTCCTCCCTGTACCACACAGCGAGCACCACAACAGCACAGCACACAGCACGATGACCAGCGTGACCATGGAGAACAGCAACGCACTGTCCCAGAGCATGGACTCCGTGAACACAACAGCAGCTGAAGAGGAGGTCAGTCATACATCACCACTGTACACACAATTCTCCTGTTTTTATCCAAGGATTATCAGCTTGTGTTAATCTTGTGCGGGAATTGTGTTAATAGTGAACGATCTGGTATATTTCTACGGCATATGGAGTTTTACTGACAAAAGTTGACAGTTTAGCAAAATATCGAATCGACAAGACTATCTGATCAGCTAGACCACCAGTTTGATGAAACACGCGAGTGAATAAACAAACTGAAGTGACTCTGACAGAAAACAGCCATCATGATGAGGCATATAATCTGGATAAGTAATTTGTTGTATATATCAATAGCAAGACACGGGGGACGCCGCGCCATTTGCAAGACCTCAACCGCAGGTGGAGTAGGTTAGGGGGCGACGAGCCTAGTCTGTGCTCCAGCGTCTTCACCATTTTTTAATTAATCACTAACGTACTCAAGCCTGTTATGTGGCTGTAATATTCCATCAAAGGAATATAGTGTATGAAGTGTTTACGTACAAAATTACCAATGGGATACATCTAGTGGTTACAATACCATCCAGAGAAGCGCCCAGAAGTGGGTAATTCAGCATTTGAAATTAGCAACGAAATTCTAGATGTGACTACGGTTGTAAACTCAAATGTTAGAGCCAGTAATGCCTATTCCTGCTGCTATGTTTATGTTCAGTGTGGTTGATGGATGTGACTTGTTAAAAAACTAAGTTAATCGAATAATTATCAAAACTGAAGCATTACCGGTGTGACTTACAGACGATGTTAGTCAATGTGTCATGTTTAACTTGAAGGTGTCAAGTGCTGCGATCGGTGATAAAAGGGTGTTAAGATAGTGCTGACAACATTAATAAGGTCTCTTCGCCCATTTCATGTGTAATGTGGTGATTGCTGGTTAATTTCACTGCGTAAACCGACAAAGACGGGATAAATCATGTGCCCGTTGCTGTAGCATGAAGTTTGCTGGCGCTGACAAACAGGTGAAGCGCGGCTCCCTGCACAAGATGGCTGGCTGCTCATGTAACAGGAAAACCATTTGGCTGTTGATCAGAATTACTTGCGTTAAATTTTGGTGTGGGCGAATTGGAATAAGAATCCATTTTCATGTACAAAATTTTGGGTCGCATATTTTCAGTTGCATGAGGGTAGTTGTGTAGGTGATCAATGTCTTTCAACATTACGTTGCGCCGAAGAACGAGAAAGAATTCCTTTGTTAGCAGACAACGAAATGGCTACGAGTAAGGAATTCGCTGCCTTTAATATTGGGGTTACAGGTCTGGAGGAGATCTGTATATCAGAATACCAGACAGTTAAGTAAAATTAGGTTAGGTCAAGATTTTTCCGTATCTTTATTTCCGCCTGCTCCGGGTGAAGAAATTCCTTCCCGGGTGTGTAGGAAAATTGCTTGTACGGTGAATACAAAAGTCGGTAATGAGATTTTATCAGTGAATTACATAACGTCATCTTCCGTGCACGCAGCCTGTGTGTTAGAGATCCGGTTTACGTATACTTAACCACGACCTTGGATGTATGTTTTCCAGCCAGCTAGGCTTTGGTGGTCTGCTACGCTGCCTAGTTCCAACGTTGTGAAGGAAGCCTTGCAGTTGTCTTTGATATAAAGCGGTTAAATGTGTCATTAGAGACTAAAGACCAGTCAGTGCGACGTAGTATTTTGGGGGCTACATTTTGCTTCTATCGTACGAAGATGTTAAGGTTACAGAGGTTAGGTAGAGATGGACTTCTTTAAGTTAGTAGTCAAGTCTGACCTCATCTATGCCAAAGGTTCGAATTTTAACAAGAATAAACTCGGCTTCTTCAAATTATAAATTCACTACAAGGACCTTATAATTTAATGCCGTTGGGGATAATCGATTCGGGAGTGATTAAGGTTTTCTCGTCTCTAAGAAAGGAGCTTGTCCCTTGTTCTGTCATCAGGAAGACTTTTTGTCACAGCTTGGGAAAGACATGGTTTCTCACTACTTGGGAAATAACTCGACACAATACCTTTTGAAGTAATAATTTTAAATTCTCTTGTGGGAAAGAAAAAGCGTCTCATAATTGTCTGAAATTCAAGACTTTTTATTTTCGTAATAAAACAAAGAAAATGATATCATGTCCCAAGTTTTTCATTCCCATAAATCTTTTTCCGTGTGTGTGTGTGTGACATTATCAGACTGGAGTATTTTCAATGTATGAATATTATGGTTTTAAATTAGACAAATTTAGATTTAGGCGTGAAATAGGTAAACACTGGTTTGGAAACAGAGTAGTGGATGAATGGAACAAGTTACCAAATATCATCATTAACTCGAATACGCTGAATTGCTTCAAACATAGGTTGGATGCTCATATGAGCAATAGGGGTTGGGTGTAAACGGGACTGCCCAGTATGGGCCAATAGGCCCGCTGCAGTTTCCTCCATTCTTATGTTCTTATGTTCTTATATACGAAACGCGTAGTTTTCGATCTGTCATTTTTACTACGCTCTTTTACCTTCGAAGCGTCCATTTTTAAACTTTAAATAGCTGAGTCTTGCAAAGTCATTTTGTATTTTGAATTACAAGTGAAATAATTATCTTAACTAATGAGTCAGCAAGACCTCAGTAACTTATCTTGTATCAGGAAGTTGTGGTATCTGCCGCACGAGGCTTCAGCTCAACACATACAATATTATGTTGGTTTAAGGAATGCGTTTTAACTGAAGAAACTATGATAACTTATCAGTTGCGTGTTTAGGTATATCAACCGATAGTTCTAAGAATTATCAGCTGACAGCAAAGTGTCACACTCGTCCGAAATATTTGCCACTCCGCCCCAGAGCCTAGTGATGGGGGGGGGGGGGTTACGCTGATGGTTGGCCGACTTGTCTTTTCAAGTCGTTTCTTTGTACAGTAGGTCGACACCCTGCAGTAGGCGTTATGGAGTTACTGAACTACCTTGCTGGGAAACACTTATTATAGCATGAAAAATTAGCTGACGTAAAACCGTTTTGATTTGTTATGTCATTGGAGCGAAATTGAATCCAATGCAATGTCACCCCACTTTCATATTTCATTTCCATTAATTAATAAATTTCCTTCTTTAGATGAAACATTTTCCTAGCGAACACAAAATGCGTTATTTACGAATTTTCAAAACTTTTATTAACTCGGGACACGTATTTTCCCAACCAACATCCGTCATTTCTTTAACGTATCTACAAAAATTCCCCTCAAATCTTTCCTAAAATTGGATCAGACCTTCACACTTCTCATCCACCCCTCCATGTCATTCATTTCAGAGTTTAATCAGAAACACACAGCAGATTTACCAGCTTCATCTACCCAGACATGTGAGCTGCAGAAACTTAGCATCTTGAAGAGTGGTGATGTCCTTAGGGGAGACGCGAAGAAATACTGGTTAAGAAGCTTCGGCAGATCAAACTTCTCCCGGAGTCTTTCTTGCATATCTTTGTCCCCTAACTGAATTCCACCTCGCTGACTCAACCCCTTCTCCTTCCTCCCCCTCCCCCCGTTAGGGATCGCCTCATTCCTCCCCATGGCTCTCTCCTCTCATCCCCCTCCTCCATGGTCCGCTTCCTCTCCCCACCCCATGGATCACTGCTTTAACCCCCCTCTCCCTTCACAATGGATCGCCCTCTCTTCACTATGGGTCACCCCTCTCCATGGAGCATTCCCTCTCCTCTGTGGGTCTCTCTGGGTCATTCCCTCTCCCCCATCTCTATAAGGGATATGGAGCACCCACCGCCTCCCCTCTCAATGGATCACCACATCTCATTCTGCGCCGTATCATTTTCACCCCCCATTGTTGTGTTGCCACAGACACCCTGGACTGCAGCAGCATCATGGTGTAATAGTCGACTTCCCCTAGAAAACCAGGCTAATGCGTATACAGTATAATGAGCCTTATTATATACGCATACATTATCAGATTCATGTATAAGTCCTCTTTGTATAGTGATGTATATATAGGGTCAGCTATACACCAGGCTTATATGCATTGGATCTTTCTTCATATATTGGGTCACCAGGCTAATGTATATCCTGGGTTCCTTTGCACAACACCTTATATGTGGGAGTATAGTATGTACACTAAACCTTCGGCCTATACAGTGGGCCTCACACCTGGGTGATGTGTGTATTGTAGATCTCAATACACCAAGGCCTTTGTCCACTATACACCGGTACTGTTTATGGTGTATAATTAGGTTGTTACTTCAGGTTTATGTATAGAAGTGTATACATAGTAAACATTGATCTTTCCATATACATATTTATCTATACATGGATGATTCAGTGTACAGTAATGAACGGTTATACATAAGGCTTTTGTATGGGAGTCAATTATACCATAGACTTTACTTATACTGTATATTATAGTGATATAGAAGTTATTTTAAGCGGCAGTCTCAGGTGAAAATTAACAATATGTAATACACCTATACTAAATTAATGTACAGCAGACTCACTTTAATCTGAGTTGTATAGTTAAGTATAGTTGGGCTTTAGCTCCTGATGTACTAAGTTGTTGTATAGGAGGTAAAATATACAGTATAGGTCTTCTATTGTATACTCTGGTCCGGTGTATAGGATTGAATTATACAGTGAGTCTTCATACACAAGCTATACTGTATGTGGTATAGAAACTTAGTCATTTTGATGGATTTTTCTATATAATGGAACATGGTATAGGAGGGTTATATATAATTTGTCATCTATAATATAAGGCATTGTTGAGTTGGGAGTACAGTACGTTATATATAATGGGCTTATTTTTGTATTAGCTGTTGCTATTGTTGAATTGGAGTGTGATAATTTACCATCTTTTTTAGACTTGTTCTTTTTGTGTACTCTACTAATACATAATAAGAACCTTGTAAAGACCACTGTTGTATAAAAGTATCACATACAACATACAGTACTTGTGTCGTAGTTGTTTGACTTCTTTAATACAATACTAGGCTATCTTTAAGGCTCACGTGGTGATATTGATAACGAGTTGTATTACTGACC